GGCTCAGCTTTCTCCAGACCCACACAATAGCTGGTGACTAACTGCTCCGAAGTGGCATTAGCATTTCACAAGAAGGCCATTCAGCCAACGGAGGAACCTTGGCAAGAATTTTTTTCTTTTTCCTTTTTTACCCCCCTCTCCTTTTCCTTTTGCTTTCTGTAGATTCAGACTTAGATTTTTTTTTTTAATTTTTGTTTATTTTGAATCTTTTTTTTTTTTTCTCTTTTGGTTGGAGTCGTTCAGATGTTTAATGGTAGCTACCCAGCGGCACATTGTGCATTTATAAAAACATATCTGCTGAAGTAGAAACCTGGAAGTTTTAACAGGCGTTTTCTAGTTTTGCTGATTCTTGGGGTCTGTTTCCTTTTATGAAAAATCGTTAGTGGAGGGCATGAAGAGTTTTGATTTTTATCTACATAGTTACCGTTGTCTGGACCTTGGCTCTTAATTTTTTGTTTATATTGAGATGTTTTGTTTAATTGCTTGAAAGTAACTTTTTTTTATAGTTGGAGGGTTTTTCTAGGCAATAATTAAAAAAAAAAATTGCCTTCCAAAAATGGAGCTATTACTTGAGTATTGTTAATGGAAAGGTGAAGTCTCAATGCTAGTTTACTCTGTTAAAGGAGCCGTAGTTTCCGAAGTGTCTTTGCTTATACACTGATAGAAGTTGTTGGTATGAATGTATTGACTAGCCAGTCACAGCAGGGCCCATTGGGCAGTAGAAATTCAGACAATACATTGAAAAAAAATTTGGGGGGACGTTTTTTGACTGCTTGAGGTAGTTGTAATTACTCCTGTTGTCAGGGCTGTAGTGATTAGGCAGTTTTAGTAGTTCCCAATGGTATGTCTTCCATGAGGTGGTGGCATGACATGATTTTGATAGCTTTTGTTTGATTTTAAGTAGGATTCCAATAGCTTTCGTGTGTATGTCTTACGATTTATCAACTGTAGTCGACTATGGTTGTTTAGGCTTAAGAGATCTAATGGAGACTGTTTTCATTTCCATGCCTCAAGTTAGTTTTCAAGTAGTGATTTAGGGTAGTTCAGTCAGTACTTGGGCCAGTCCCAAAGTGATTAGAATTTGAAGTAAACTCCACAGTTTACTATTTGCAATATTTTAAGTTTTTAGATTTATAATTTTTGACAAAATCTTCACTGTCATGTCTTCCTGGCTGTTTAAGAAAAACGAAACTCTTAAAAATACAAAGATATGGCATGTTTTACCAAACTCATTTTTTTCCCTCCCTTTAAAAATCCCACGAATTCCAAGTCACTAAATATTGCTATCTTTTTAACTTTAACTGAGAAATATTACGTAATACTATGTTTTTTGATTGAAGCAACTAATAGTGTTTGACCAAAAAATGGGAATGGCTAATCTGTGTAGGAATATTAATTTTGTTTGTCTAGTGAAAGCACTACTGCAGATTTAGATTTAGACCTAATTTAATTTTGGAGGGGGTTCTCATTGGTTCAGATATTAGTAAAAAAATGTTCACAGTTTTTCAGATTTCTTAAATTGTCTTTGTTAGTATGTTATTTATCAAAAGCTACATGTTTTGTGGTTTCTCTTGCTTGAAAAGTGTTTTTACCTAGCAGTCAATGATGGCTTTACTCTTAAGACAGGTAAAAATTCTTACTGGAACTTGGAGTCATCCTTTCTTTTGTTTATTCAACATAAAACTTTCTGCTGGATGCAAGGCATCCTTTGAAGTGCTTTTGTATCCATCAGATTATATGCTGAGGTATGTGAGAATATGAGTTAACTTTATCTCTTTTTAATTGCAATTTTAGTTAGCTTTAAAAACATTTTGATTACCAGGTTTCTGAGCACATTAGTAATCTGAAAATTTTATGTTTTGCTAAACACATACAAAGACTCTTGTATATTATGTTTTCTTAAATTAATCTCATGACTACTTCAAATTGAATTAACAATAATTGCTTTAAAATTATTTGGTGTGTAAAAATGTGGTTTGAATAATTTCTGCTTCTACCTGGAAATGGCTTGCTGATAAACTGAACAGTATTTTAAGTGGAAGAATTCATGTGAAATTGGAATTTTCTAGAAAATCTTTAGGAAAGAGATGCATATTTGTACCTAGTGAATTTAAAAATAAGTATTGATCAGCATTGATAGCTTATGAATAATAGTATTCCAATGATTCAGTTTTGAATCAGGGAAAATGGAGTGTTTACTGCAGTTTTGAAAGTTGGAGTGTTTAGTGCAGTTTGGGAGTTTTATAAGTTAAAAAAGTAAAATTGATAGATGTGATCAAAAAAGGGAATTCTCACAAGCTGAGAATTTTGTTTTGGTATAAGAATTTGATGAAGTATTATCTGGGTGAACACTTAAACATTCTTTTAAAACTTGATAGGATATTTGATTTAAGTTTACTTAGGATTATATTTGTTAACCTGTAATTTTCTTAAGGTAAAGGACTTTTTCAAGTATGTATCAGAATTCTTTAAATGAAGCCAAGCATTAAGCCAAAAAAGGTATTTTTTAAATAGGCTGACCTTGAACTATCTGTGTAGGCAAGGTTGACCTTGGATTTCTGATATCCCTGCTTCTACTCCCAAAGTGCTGGTATTACAGAGTGGTTTCTGCAGTGCTAGGAATGAATCAAGTAGGAGCTCTGTGCATGCTTGATAACTTCAACTTCACAGTTGAGCTGGCTGCATCTTCAATCCAGCCAAATTTTTATGCAGTAAGAAAGAGGCCTATTTTTTTGGACAGCGGTTTCAGTTTTTTTTTTTTTTTTTTTTTTTTTTTTTTTTTTTTGGGATTTCACTTATCCCAAGGCAGTCTGGAACTAGCTATATACAGTCGGATGGCCTTCAGTTCTGTCTTCTGCCTCACCTTCCTAAGTGTTGGGATTATAGGAGTGATCGATTTGGCTCATTTCTTAACTGTGTATTTGAATTTGTTGGTTTTTTAGTTTTGTTTCCCAATTGTCTCCTTAATTAGTCTTGACTGCTATTTTATTACATCTTAAAGCAGATTAGTAAAGCATTTTCACCAGACTTGGGATGCTTTGATTGCGTTGTTTTTTTTCTTACAGGTTATTTGTTTTTTTCAATTGAGTTAATGTTTTGCTAATTTATTTAAATGATGCAGTTTGCTTTAAAAAGTATTCATTTTCTTAAATTGAATCTTATTAGATATCTTTTTGTCAAAGGAAAGAATTAGAAGTCAGGAGTTGTGGTTTGTTATCTTAAACCCTGGTGATAATTAGCTTGCAGGTGATTCGGGAAAACTAACTTCTTGCCTTGGTTATTTGTAATCATATGTAGAAGCATGGATTGAAAATTATTTGGAAATATGATTTTGAGTTAGAAATGGCAGTGCATTGTTTTTAGGTGCTTAGCATTCACTTTTGGAGTTTAGTATCTGTTTTTAAAACAAAGAACTGGATTCATTTATAAAATTAATGTATACTTCTGATGGGTTTTATGCATGTGTGATTGTGGAGGTCAGGACAACCTTGAGGTGGTCCTGAGGCACCACCCACTTCCTTTTTCTTTTCAGATAGTTTCACTGGCTTACAATTCTGTTAGTAGGCTAGACTGGCTGTGCAGCATGTTCCAGAGATCCATGTACCTGTTTGTCTTTCCAGAGCTAGAATTAATTGCAAGTGTGGATGCCTGGTGTTTTTTAACATGGGTTTTGGGCACCAAACCCAAGCACTTAATCTATCCCCCAGGCCCATAAATTTTTAAATGAAATAAATCCACATTAAATTCTTAATACTCAAATTGTAAAGTGATGTGGACATAAAGGGGTAGCAGAATTGTTTCTTTCTTAACTGCATGACGGAGACAGAGGAGTATTGAAGGTGTCCGTAAAGTGGTCTAATGATGGTAAGTCCACCTTAAAAGGCTGGGAGTAGTGATTGGTATAGGGTTTGAGTTTGCTCTTGGCAACCATAGTGACAGTAATAAAGGTTGTTGAACTGTGGTGGTGTAAGTTTTCTGTAAGGAAAGCATTTCTATTTGAGATACAAGCACTCATAACTTTCTCAGCCTAGCAATACTTTATAAAAACGCTACCTTAAAACTTTAGGAAGTACTGCTAATATACATTTTAGATTTAAAGATGAAATAACACTAAGAAATAGAAAGAAGGTCAGTGAATGTAAAACAAATAATTCGTTAGGTATTGTGGATATATCTATAGATAAATATTGCTATGACTTTCTGTGAGCAAACATTCAATGTTTGGGTGGCTGAATTATCTTGAACTGAGGCTGGAGTTAGAACAACTGTGGTCAAGCAGTTGGCTAGTGTGAATGAGGTCCTGGGTTTGTGTTCAGGACCAAGAAAAGGAAAACCAAACAGTGAAGAGGAAAGTAAAACCCTAAACTTATTGAAGATGAGTGAAGCCTTTTTTTTTTTTTTTTTTTTTTGTGAAGATTGTAGCTACTTTGGAGTAGGCAAAGAAGAGAGATTGTTAACATTGGGTCCTTTTATTCAGAAATTTGGAATTTAAAGCCAGAGTAGTTGTGAAAATTGTCACATGTGTTGTTCTTAGACTACTTAAAGATGTGTTCCAAGCAATTTAGTGATTTAGAATTGATATTATTCTTGGTTAGTTTTAGTTTAAATAAATACTGTCAAGTTTTTAATCAATGTGGAGGCTCTTTGTCAGGATAGGCTGTAATTTTTTATCTTTGTTGGTTACATCTGGAAAATTCTTTGCCTGCAGACATTTTTCTCTGTCCCAAGTTTTGTCATTATGTACCTATTCCTGTGGAGCTTCAACACTTGGGCAGTTTATTTTGAACAGTACTTCATCTAATGAGTGAATTCATTCTTATGAGTAGTTTTCTTATGTGATTTTAGAACAATATTAATTTACCTGGCCTTGAGTTATCAGACAATAAAACAATTTCCTAGTTACTTTTTACTGACATCAGGAAGCTCAGGTATTATATGAGTACAATGGACATAAAAATTACCCTCTAATTAGGGATTTTTAAGTTAATTTTGTAATTAAGTCTAAAAGTGTTAAGGGCTGTCAAATTTAGGAAAGTTAAATTACAATGTTTTCAGCTTCATATTTTGTTTGAGAGGATGTTTTGAAAGTTAATAAATTTCTTTGAAAAAATATTTTGAAGCCATTTTGAAGAATTAATATGTGAAGTTAATAAATTTGCAATTAATGAGGTATTGAGCATGTGGAATATACAAGTGTATAAATGTTCTATGATATGAGGAAAATTAAGCTAATTTATCGAATTTGAGAATGTAAGGTATTATTACAAGTCAAAAACAGTGATAGAGAGCAGTCATTTATATAAATTTGAGAACTTTTGGTTACTGCCTATGAGGCAATAAGTCTACCTTTAGCTATTTAGTACACATGCATGTGCAGTCTGAGTTTTCATGGATGGTTTGATGAGAGGTTTTTGATATTAAGGAAATCTAAGTAGCATTGTAGTTTGGTATATCTTCTGTTTAGTTTAAAGTGAAACTAATGAGATTTGTCATCTAAGTTATACATGGCATTACAGATGATGGTAGCATGTTACAGAAGCAATACCAAAGAATGCATGGATTCTGCCACAGTTGGCATGACATCCTGGGTTCCTGTCATGGATGGAGAGCATATATATAACACAGGGAAGGTTGCAGTGTAACAATGCAAGAAATAACTGTGGTGCACCGAGTCTCAGTTGACTCTGGTTTACTTTTGGAGGCAGAAACACTAGTTTGTAGGCAGCTTGGTGAGACATGTGTCTGAAACTTCAGTATTTCTACATGTTAGGTGATAGTTATTTTGAGTTCTGAAAACCGAAACATACCTAAAATTGAAACTGGTTGTTCTGTCAGTATTACTTATGTTGACACTTTTAGGAATAAGCAATTTAAGGATTTTTTTCCCTATCATTAGAAAGTATCTTCACCAGATTTATAAACTTGAGTTTTAAATTATATTCTAATATGTTTGAGAGAAAATTTATTGCACATAGCAAATATTTGATTTTAAAAACTAAATGTGTTACTCTAGAGCACCCCTACTATTCTGTGTGGAGGAATCTGAAGAGTTTTTGTTGTTGTTGCTGTTTTTAAGCAATACAATCATATTGTAAATAAAGTTGAAAATGTTTATATTGCCATTTTCTTTAAGTGACGGATAGTATCGATAAGACCAACAGAATTCTTATGGTTGACTGAATTCTTGAAAACAAGCATTCATGTTGTAAGTTGTAGCTTTAGGGATTTGATCGGGAGGAAACAGTTCCCCTGTTAAGTAGATGAGAAGGGTGTTATGGAAAAGGACCTAGAAAGGTTATGCCTTGGGAAAGGGAACGTTATTAATCTTCACCCACCCACCCCCACTTTTGGTGATAATACCTTATAGACTGCTGAAGAGAAGTAGTGGCAAACAAAACACTGAGATATATATTCCTTGGGTCTACATATGTTAGAATATTTTAATAGTACCTGATTTGGGGAATTGTCTGTGGCTTTGAAAATGTTTGACACTACTAGAATAAAGCACTAGAATGAATACAGTGAAACATTGTTTTGTTCTCTATGTGCTAGAATAGGTGCTAATAAAATGTTTGCAGTATTGGGGAGTGGTGAAGTCAGCAATTCTTATTCGTTAAAGTGTCAATTTACCTAATAATCATTTATTAATCCCCTGAAGTTCTGTTAGGTACCTTGTAGACAGGTTAACAGGTCTAATCCTGTTTACATAAGACACAGACAAGTTAGTTGATGGTGAGTCAGTATAGTATGAAGTCTTCTGAAATCTTGCTAGAGAGGCACAGAATAGATTTCCGATGAGGATATAGCTACCATTAGATTCCCACTGAGGTTTAAAGTATCAAGATTTATTAGGAATTAATGTACATACTACAAAACGTTAAGGGTGATCAAGGGAAACTTGAAACAAAAACAAAGGATGTGCAAAAAGACAGGACTAGGGTGGTATGAACAGCTCGTGGAAGACAGTGAAGCATAGACAGACGTGAGGGAAATGAGGTGTGGAAGTGGGAGGATAAAGAAAAGGTTTCTAGTAGACAAGTTTCTATATTTAATATCTCAAAAACCGGAGAAGGCATAGCAGTTAAGAGCTGAATGTGTCGTCTAACTGGAAAGTCAAAGTTGAGTTTGAAAAATTGGAATATTCTGTATTATCAAAGAAAGCTTTAGTCAAAGTGGATTCACAGTATTTTACTAAAAGGTAGAGATCTGTAGAAAAGGTTACCGGGCTTACTACTTGAAAAGGCATTGTGCCTGCAGATTCTAAAGCAAGACTGTTATAAACTTCATCTAGTTAAAAGACTGAAAAAGGAACTTTGAGCAGTTTTTAGAGGTCACATTAAAATTTTAGCCATTGAGATGGCTCAGTTTTTAAGAGCATTTGTAGCTCTTGCCAAGGACCTGAGCTGAGATTCCAACATATGCATGAGGCATCTCATAACCCTGTAACTCCAGTTCCTGGGAATCTAATGCTTTTTTGCCTTGGCAGGCAATGGTGGCGTCAAGAAACAAGTAAATTTAGAAAAATCTTTAAAAAATAATAATTGTGTAAGTTTTGATCCCAAAGTCATCCTACAAATACTTCAGGCCTTTTTATTTAATCTTCTTCTTCTTCTTCTTCTTCTTCTTCTTCTTCTTCTTCTTCTTCTTCTTCTTCTTCTTCTTCT